TGAGACAGAAAACATTTCTTCCTGAAGAGTCAAGCAGAGTGTGGCATATTGCCAGCGTTCAACACACTGTTGTCAAGTCAAAGGCAGAAATCTTCATCCGGTCGGGCAGTACATGGAGGACTCAGGGGGCCCACGACCTGCCCGCCGGGGTCTTTCCTCCTTCCCTCTCAGCCTGCCGTCCTTCTACAAGTATTCATTTAGTGGGCCTCAGCGATCACTTCTGCTGGTCTCAGTGGCTTATCTGGTTGTGTCGCAGAAACCCCTCATTCTGGAAGGGTCTGAGACCCACCCTGATACCATACCCATTCAGGCTATAGTTGTTGCGCCTGTTCATTCACAGTCACGATGGGCCAAGAGGCACTGGAAGTCCTGAAAGCCCATATACCTTCTCCTGCAGTTTGCAGGCAGTTGCCCAGCCGAGATAGTGACTCACTGTCTGCTGATCATGGTCATAAGAAGTCCAACGTGCCCAGGTGGCCGCTGAAACTTATAGTTCAGTGGGATCCTTGCTCTGTGCAAGAGCACACCCCTTTGGGGACCAGGACTTCTACCTTGCAGATGTCAGAGTTGTGGGGACAGAAAACACAAGTTTAGTTTATGATAGGGTGGCTTGGTGTGTGGGTTCAGGCTGAAAGTGGGCAGCAGCTGCACTGCAGCCACACTCAGGGATGGCCTTGGAAAATAGTGATGAAAAGTCTTCCCAGTGGTTGGAACTTCAAAGTGGTGCCACCTGGTCATGGACTTTGTTCACTTACTGACTCTGGTGACCCACAGAGTCTCAGCCAGCAGCACTCTCCAGGGCCTGCTGGGGCTGCTCCAGCTTCTATACACTGGTTGTCAGACCCATGTATTTCTTCTACTGGGGCAGATTTGTAGAGAAGTTTCTGACTCAGTGCAATGACTACATTCTGGAGGATGGCACTCCATTCTGTAGAGCATTGCCTCCAAGCTGGGACTGCAACCTGCGTCTTCATATCATCAGACCATTCAACATCATCAGATGGCTGGTTCTGGAAGGTACAGTAGGTGATAAGGTAGTCATAGACCCACTTCTGCAGGAAAGTGAGTCCGAGTTAGTGGCAGTGTGGGCAGTGTGTTTGGAGCAGATGCACTCCAGACACATTTTGGAGATGGAATGATCTGGATCTATTTACTAACTGATTGGCTATTGGAGTAAAAGACAAGGAAGAAGCAAGAATGGCTTGAACAACGAGTAGATGGTAGCCTTTTACTGAGATGGTAAAGACAGTGATGGGAATAGGAAGGCAACACTTGGAAATCAAGGGTTTGGTTTTGAACGTATTAAGCAAAGTTGGATTTTGTAAGATTAAAATTGAGCTGTCTGTTAGGCAATTGGATAGATTAGCAATATTGGCCCAGAGAGTCAGCAGCATTATGATTGTATTTATAATCATGGGAATGAATTAAATTATACTGGGAAAGGAGGTGAAGAGAAAGGAGAAGAGGGCTTGTAACCAAGCCCTAAGAAAGCCCAGCACTTAAGAATAAACAGAAGAAGAAACACTGACAAAGAAGTCTGGGATAGAATGGCCAGTTGAGGTTGGTGGAAAAACAAAGAAGTGAGATGCAGTGGTGTCCCTAAGGAACTAAACATCTGGGCTTAAGTAACACAAATAGATCGTGGGCGCGATGCCCTGAGGGATGGTCTGGGGTCTGGGGCAGTGCGGTGGCGAGACCAGTCAGGAAGATGCCAGTGGCAGTGATGGCGGACAGTGCCTTCAGTTTCAAAAAGTTGCAGGATCAGTGCTAAAACCAGGAACTCTAGGCTCCTGGAGGAATTGCTACACACCCAGTGTATGGTCAGCTTCTAGCTTTATATTTGCTCCATAATGACATGAATAATGCAAGATATCTTTGGAAAAGAACACCACCTGCTATGAAAGCTGCAAATTCTGAACTTGGGGGAATTTGATCAGTAGGACAAAGAATCTGGCAGAGAGATTTCCCTGGGATCTACATGACCATCTGTGCTCACCAGTGGTCTGAGATGGTCCAGCCAATCATGGAAGTACTTAGAGATGTGACAAGGAGATGAGCCTTCACCCTGGTCTCCCAAGCATACACCTCAATAGTAACCGATGAGTTTGCAGCCTTCGTTGGACTTCCTTTAGAAGAGACTGTGAAAGGTAACTTCACCACAAGAGCGGTTCTGCCCCAAAAGCCGGTTGCAGGGGCCCTGGATGCTTCCTTTAATAAGTTTATTCCCTTATCAGAGCCAATAGCAGTTCCCCCAATCCCTAATGAACAGCAGTTAGCCAGACTGATCAATTATGTGGCTTTCCTTGAAAACTGATTTATCACCCAGAGTTCAAGATCCACCTTCAGAATTCTGCATACTGACAAATACAAAAATGCATAAAATTTTTATTTTCAGCAAAAACATGGAACCAACCATGTTGTCCATCGAAGCTGGACTGGATAAAGAAAACGTGGTACATATACACAGTGGACTATTATGCAGCCATAAAGAAGGAGAAATATATGGGCTCTGCGGCAACTTGGATGGATTTGGAGTCGATCATACTCAATGATCTATCACAGAAACAGAACAGAGTACTATATGTTCTCACTCATAAGCGAGTGTTGAACAATTATAATACTATAAGAAAGCATTTGGTAGTAATGGGAAACTGTCAGGGGAGGGGGGTGGGATTGGCAGTTGAGGGAAACTGCTAGGGGAGGGAAGGGCATACCTCATCAACAAGGGTACCTGTATAATCAATGTTTGTATACCTAACTGAATTGTACCCCACATCTTTATAATTAAAAAAAATTTATTTTCAATTTATTGGATGGATTAAGCATCCTTACTGAGTATGTGATAGAATATATAATATAAGATATATATGTTTTGTCCAAAAACATGCTGAATAGTTGTTGAAACAATGCTCATTTTGTAATATTTAACGATCTGGATAAAGCCCATCAGTATTATGTGGTTAGTTTATATTTTCTAGTGACTCATAAAATAAGGTCTCCTGTTTCATGAAGAACAGTGGTTACCAACTTTCTTTTCCCTGCCCCAGCACAGACCACACTCTTATCTGTACTACTGTTTGATAGTTGTAGTGATTCATTTGGAGTTTGAGGGGAACTGTCCCCAGGGGCAATATCTGAATTGCTAGAGATTGTGATTCACCGTCTTTGTAGAACATGCTCTCTTTTCTTCCCATGTCCTGAAAGCTACTGATGCTGAATACAGAAATATAGCCGAGGAACAAACAAACCATTGTCATAGTAAACCAGTTTGTTAACTTTAGATTTTTTTTTCCAGTAGTGTGAGTACACCCATTGTTGGCAGTGGAGGGTATGCAATGGAAATAGGACTTATTTAAGACATTTGTGAGAAGTATTAAGTTGTACTGTCTCCTTTCAGAAGAAGGTAAACTTAAGCATGGAATACGCTATTAAGTGATATACTTTGCACAATCATCCTACAGCCTATTGGTTGTTTATATTTATCTCTTGATTCAAGTTCTGCACTTTGGAGAAATACTGAACAAGTCTTTCATTCTTTGTGTGTTAGCCCTTTGTGTATTTGAAGTTGTTGTGTTTTCAGGTTAAAACACCCCTTCTCCTTAGTTCATTTATTCTGTATTTGTTTAATAAATATTAAACTGAAGAAAAGTAACACAAATAATAATAATAATAATAACCTGAAAAGAAATGCAGAATGAACATTTTCTTTTATTGAACTTTGTTTATATAACCATGCCATTAAGATTTTTTTTTTTTGAGTAGATGTCTCACTCTGTCACTCAGGCTAGAGTGCAGTGGCAAGCTCATGGCAATGAAACCTCTACCTGCTGGGCTCAGGTGATCCTTCTGCTTCAGCCTTCCACCTAGCTGGAACCACAGGCATGTGCCATCACGCCTGGCTAATTTTTTTACTTATTGTAGAGCCAAGGTCTCGCCATGTTGCTTAGGCTGGTCTTGAACTCCTGAACTCAGGCAATCCTCACCTCTGCCTTCCAAAGTGCTGGGACTACAGGTGTGAGCCACTGCGTCTGACAAGATTTTTAAAATGAGAATATAATTTACAATACAGAACAAGACAAAAGTAATGGATTATTTTTTAAAATAACATTAATGCATTTTGAGAGAATAAAAGGAAAAAATTATGTGAAGAAACGTTTCCAGAAGGGTGAATTATAGCTGGGTGCAGTGGCTCACACCTGTAATCCCAACACTTTGGGAGGTGGAGGCAAGAGAGTTGCCCGAGTCCAGGGGTTTGAGACCAGCCTGGACAACTTGATGAGACCTCGTCTCTACAATAAATAAAAAAATTAGTTGGGTGGGGTGGCACCCGCCTATGGTTCCAGCTACTTGGAAGACTGAGACAGAAGGATCACCTGAGCTCCAACAGGTTGAGGCTTCAGTAGCTGTGAGCTTGCCACTGCACTCCAGTCTGGACAACAGAGTGAGACTCCTACTAAAAAAAAAAAAAAGAAAGAAAAAAAGAAAAGAAAGTGAATTCGTAAGTCTTATAGAGTGAGTGACATATAGAATGGCAGAACTGAAGTAATGCAGGCTTGTTTCTTCACTGTTACCATAACTGTGTCGTTGTTTTGTCAAATCTCTATTCTGCAGAAATATTAGTAGCTCAGCAGTGGTGGCCATGCACTGTGCCTAGTGAGCTGGGATCATTCTGAACTGTTTCAGTATGCTCTCAAAACAAATGCCATGTAGCTGAGTGTGTGTGTGCCTGGGAGCTCCCTGAATTAACTTGTTAGTTGAAGGAAAAGAGATTAAGATGTACACTAACAACACTTACACACATATTATTAAAAATCAACAGTTGGTTGGGTATGGTGGCTCACACCTGTAATCCCAGCATTCAAGACCAGCCTGGGAAACATAGCAAGACCCTATCTCTATAGAAAAATTAAAACAAATATTAAAAATTTTAAGAAATCAGCATTTGAGATGCTTGGAGAGGGGGGTGGCACAGGCTTTTCAAGCTCGAGGGGAGACTTTGGATGCAACAGATTAAAAGGGCCAATAAACCGTTTACCAATGATTGCATATTTCTAAAGAAAACTTTGAGCTTCTCAGTTATATTAGAGAAGCCTTTGTTGTTTAATCGACTTAACTCCATTGATTCTCCAGAAAATGAAACCGTTGATAGTTTTTCTCATGAAGAGGAGCCAGTGGTGGCTGGGGAAGACCTCCCTTCTCCCAGTCCTCAAGAACCCGATGCTCCATCTGTGCAGTCCGAGGAAGTCTCAGCCAGAGATTTCCTGCAGAGACTGGACTTGCAGATTAAGTTGTCAACACAGGCAGCCAAGAAACTAAAAGAAGAGAGCAGAGATGAAGAAAGTCCCTGTGCAACTTCCCTCTATTACAGGTGATTTGGAGGTGTAACTCTAACCTGGATTAAAACACGGTTGAACCATAAAGAATCCAATAACTGCAGATTTGAAAACATCCATAGCATACATCTTCAAATCATAATCAGGTAGTTCCACCTACTGCAGTTGCACTAAAGTGGTTAGTTCCCACTGGCTTTCTGTAAATTTAAGTCTTTATTATGGCATGATGGCAAAATTGTATTTTAAAGCTCATCACTTTTGTAGGTGGTGATAGTTTTTAGACTAACTTTTATAAATACTGGCTGACCTAAAGCATCAAAGACTATATATTTAAGCTAAAAAACTTACCTCTGTATGAAATCCAAATTATGTTAAAAACATGGTTGCTGTTTAAGTGATAATGAATTTGCTGTGTGTTTATAACTTAAGTGCTATATACATCTATATTTCAATGTCTTACATATTCTGTGTTAGTATAAGGAACCAAATTTTCTCTGGTATTTTGTAAAAATAAATTACAAAAGTCTGAATGAGAAAATAAAACTATGTTTAAAAATAAAGAAATCAGCAGTAATTGCAGCAATTGATTAGAACTTAGATTAACAAAGGATGTTCCAGAAAGGAGTATTTTCTCACTGACGTTGTTTTGTATTGCTGGTGCATGGTGATGACAAAAAAGCAGTTGTGTTGTTTTTATGTTATCCACAGGCAGTGCTCCTCTTGGTTGCCTGTGATACCCAGTGCTGTAGTTGCCTTGATCTTGTTATGTCTTTGAGGTATAGTTTAAGGAGAAGACTGTTAACAGAATCAAATGTCATATAAAGAATAGAAATAATATGCTAAGGCTCGCCAAACTTCCAGTCTCTGGTGTCTCAGTTGAAGTTTCTGAGTTTTCTAAGAGATGTCACTTCTGGGAAAAGATGGCAGATGGATTTCATAGGTCCACTTTGAATCTCTATCAAAACTTCATAAAAATGACATTTAAAGGGATTGAGTAAAAAAGACATAAACCCACAAAGTCAAGAACAAGAGGAATTAATAGCAATGAAATTTTGGATGCTGGGAAGCACAAAATGGATAGCAAATAGCTTAGCAGATTCAAGACTATGGACGGATAAGCCAGTAGTGAACAAAGCTGAGAACCTCCTTGATTTATTCTGAAGTAAATTCCCTAGAGACTAGGAGATTGGTGGCATTAGATTCATCTGGAAGTGGAGGCGAGGAAGGGGACTAAAGGAGAATTGATTGGAAAATTGGTAGGTAGTATGAGCCTATGAATTATAATGAAAAAGAAAAAGAAGGAAAATAAATAGTTATATGCCCAGAATCATCTCCCGCTTTGCACATAGACTGGAGGTTTGGAGAAAGTCAGGTGGCGGGTCTGTGGTTTGGAGATGCTGGACAGAGACAAGGCAAGGATACTGCACTAAAAGCAAGGGTATTCAGGGAGCGTGTGCACACTGGATGTTGAGACCTTCCCATTCTCCTCTCTCCCTGCTCCTGGAATGCTGGCACTTTGGCCTTCACATTCCAGGCAAGAGGCTGGAGAAGTTTCTCTGTAGACTTCTGACCAGCTCCAAAAGAAGAACTTGAAGATGCTGACATCGGGGTTTCCCCACAAAACAGCGCAGACGGATCAGTCCATACCTGCTGCCTACAGTTGTTAAGTCATACCTTTGCACTAAAAGCTCCATCAGCTTTTTTTTAATGTTCAAATTTTTGCCACACTATTAAAATTTACTTTTTCTGCTTTATCCTTCTGCCATATTACAAGCTTCCAAATGGCCAGGATCTTAGATTGTAATGGTACTAAATTGTCATTATTTTCTCTAAATTCTTGGGCTCTGCTTATGTGGATATAACTAAAATAAACCAATCTTTAGGTGCTGTTTTTTTTGAGTCACAGTCTCACTTTGTCATGCAGGCTAGAGTGCAGTGGCACACTCATGGGCACCACAGCCTCGACCTGCTGGGCTCAGGTGATCCTTCTGCCTCAGTCATCCAAGTAGCTGGAACTACAGGCGTGGGCCACCACGCCCAGCTAATTTTTTGATTTATTGTAGAGATGAGGTCTCACCATGTTGCCCAGGCTAGTCTCAAACCCTTGGGCTCAGGTAGTTCTCTTGCCTCCACCTCCTAAAGTGTTGGGATTACAGGTGTGAGCCACTGCACCTGGCAGGT